CTCAGAGAGACCTGTCCCACTCAGCTCCCAACAGAAGCAGTCACTCCCTTCTGTCTTATGATGGAGGTGGGTTTGCGGCTTAGAGCTGAGTGACGCGCTTCCCAGCAGTCACGGGAAGTTGACAGACGGGGCAGTTTCCTCCTGGACCACGTTTCTTACTTTTTCTCTTCTTGTATTTTTTCTTTTCTTTTCTTTTTTCTCTTTGTCTCTCTCCCCCCTTCCTTCCTTCCTTCCTTCCTTCCTTCCTTCCTTCCTTCCTTCCTTCCTTTTTCTTTCTTTTCCTTTCCTTTCTTTCTTTCCTCCTTGATCCCATTGCTAAGAGATGCTGCCAGGTCCTTCCTCTGGGGAACGTCCCCAGATTGTGACATAGTGGGGAGACTTGTTAAAACTTTACATTTGAGTTACGTAGAACCTGGAAAGAACCTGGGATGGCGAGTTCTCTGCAGTAAATGCTCTAGGAACAGGGAGAGAGCCACTGTTCAAACAAGGCTGGGTGGCGTGAACGGCGGGTCCCCATGCACAGGGCCCGTGTGGCTGGGCTAGGTGCAGGCACAGCGAGCTACTGTCATGGTGTCCATTTGGCATCTGCCTGCATGGCATGGGCGGGCAGGTCCTGAGCCCCTGGGCTGGCCTCCTGGGCCGGTTGCCCATCCCGGGCAGAGATGACACAGCCTCTGTCCTCAGGTGCTGGACGTCACGGAGCAGCTGGACGCCGGCGTGCGCTACCTGGACCTGCGGATTGCACACGCACTCGAGGGCTCAGCAAAGAACCTGCACTTCGTGCACATGATGTACACAACCGCGCTGGTAGAGGTGTGGCTGGGCCCGGGAGATGGAGGGATGAGCAGCTCGTGCAGTGCAGGCCGAGACGCTGCTCGAACATTTGCACAAGTGTGCAGAGTCGCCTCCCTGCCCCCAGATTAGGCTCGTCTCCCTGTTCTCAGTTCACGCTCTTACTTGCTGCCGGAGGGGCTCTAGAGTCTCAGTAGAAGTCACCGTCCTGCCCATGCCCTTGCTGCAGACCCAGGACCCTTGGGTCTGCAGGTGCCCTCCCTGGGGCCCACTCTGCACCTACAGGCCCNGGTGCAGGCACAGCGAGCTACTGTCATGGTGTCCATTTGGCATCTGCCTGCATGGCATGGGTGGGCAGGTCCTGAGCCCCTGGGCTGGCCTCCTGGGCCGGTTGCCTATCCCGGGCAGAGATGACACAGCCTCTGTCCTCAGGTGCTGGACGTCACGGAGCAGCTGGACGCCGGCGTGCGCTACCTGGACCTGCGGATTGCACACGCGCCTGAGGGCTCGGCAAGCAACCTGCACTTCGTGCACATGATGTACACAACCGCACTGGTAGAGGTGCGGCTGGGCCCGGGAGACGGAGGGATGAGCAGCTCGTGCAGTGCAGGCCGAGACGCTGCTCGAACATTTGCACAAGTGTGCAGAGTCGCCTCCCTGCCCCCAGATTAGGCTCGTCTCCCTGTTCTCAGTTCACGCTCTTACTTGCTGCCGGAGGGGCTCTAGAGTCTCAGTAGAAGTCACCATCCTGCCCGTGCCCTTGCTGTGGACCCAGGACCCTTGGGTCTGCAGGTGCCCTCCCTGGGGCCCACTCTGCACCTACAGGCCCTGCTCACTCCCTGCAGCTTCCAGACATCACACCTTTGCACAGGCAGCACCTTGTGTATGGCCATGTGTGAGCTCTTAGACACGTGCACACTTGCACACACACGCACAGTCATAGACATGCATGAGCACACACACATGCACGTGTACCTGGAAACATGCACAGACATGCACACACGCATTCACACACGTACATGCATGCACAAACGTCCATACATGCACACAGACATGCATACAGACATGTACACACAAATATACATATGTACACATGCNGTTCCGGGTGGACATGAGTTTTGAGGACATGGCTCACTGCTCTGCGCTGTGTGTGTTCTGCGGTGGGACTCACCCCACAGAGTGGGAGGAGAGCTGACAGCCGGCCGCCCCCATGGTCTGCTTTCAGGGAGCCATGACACGATGACCTACTGCCTTAACAAGAAGTCCCCCATCGCCCGCGAAGAGTCCAAGCTGCTGCAGCTCCTGAGCAAGGTCGTCCCCTGCATCATCCGCCCTGTGGTGCTGAAGTGGTCCATCACTCAGGTACGCGGGTGTGGCACGGGGGCGCTGCATGGATGGGCGTGGGGTTGGTCACCTGATCCCAGTTGGGGACATAGAACTGACAGCAGAGCCTCCAGCCAACCCAGAAACTCTTTGCAGAGGAGGCAGAGAAAGGACCGTTTGGGACTGAACAAGCATCATAGGTGACCGGCTAAGAGACCACAGAGACAGTGTGGCAGCCTTGTAGGTGGCTCAGAGAGACCTGTCCCACTCAGCTCCCAACAGAAGCAGTCACTCCCTTCTGTCTTATGA